CTCGCCCTGTTGTCCAGGCTGGAGTGCAGTGATGCCGTCATGGCTCATTGCAGCCTCAACCTCCTGGGCTCAAGCCATGCTCCCACCTCAGCCTTCTGAGTAGGTGGGACTACAGGTGCATGCCACCACACCTTCCTGATTTTTTATTTTTTTGTAGAGACAGTATCTTACTATGTTGCCCAGACTGGTCTCGAACTCCTGGCTCAAGGGATCCTTTCGTCTCAACCTTCCAAAGTGCTGGGATTACAAGCATGAGCCACTACACCGGGCTGTTCTCTTTTTCTTATAGGTCATTGAGAACACACCACAGGGGACCTGGGAATCTACTGAGGATACAGATTTCCCATAATCTGAAACTGTGTGTCTGCCTGATTGTTACACAGTTTTAATTGGGTGCCACACACCGAGAGAGATTGTTTGCTTGTGGGCCATCCTGTTTCCAGTAAAAGCCTTTCCACTCACTGTGGCATGCTAAATGGAGCTGATCACCTGGTTCCCTTCAGCCTTTCCTTGAATCCTTTCCACCCCTTCCCTAAATATCCTCTGTGATCCCTTTCCTGGCAAGGGTCCTTCTGGCCTTCCTACCTTGGTAAACCTGTGGCCTTAGAAGGATCGAGGTGTGGACATTAACTTTTCTGCCCTGGCGGCTTCCTGGGCTGTCCTCTCCGTGTTCCCAGCACTCAGGAGCACTGCCCTTTCCTGGCAGCCTAGTAAATCCCAGGCCTCTGTTTTGGGCCCTTTGGCTTCTTGGTGCCTGTTATGCTGAACCGTAGAACTGTCTTAATTAGAGCCCCAAAGGACACTCACTGGCCAACGCGCTTATGGAGCTGGGTAGCTCTGACCAGGCTTGCCCTCCAGGGCCCTGTCTTTTGACCACGCTGTCTCTATCACTTCTGAGGCTAAGGCCTCCTCACACTGTAAGACCCAGCTGAGGCAGGCGTTGGCTCTGGGAAAGCACCCTGTCGCAGCACCTGCACCTTGAATTGGCATCGTCAGTACACCTGACCCGGGCTGGGGTGGGGCCATGCCTCTGTACTCCTCTGTACTCAGGTACCTGGCACACTGGCATTCAGGAAGCGTGCCTTGAATGCCTGTTAAAATGATTAGGACCAGGCGTGGTGGCTCACACCTGTAAGCCCAACACTTTGAGAGGCCAAGATGGGAAGATTGCTTGAGGCCAGGAGTTTGAGACCAGTCTGGGCAGCATAGTGAGACTTTGTCTCTACCAGACTTAAAAAGTAAATAAAAATAAAATGATTAAACCTGCACGACTCCACCCTGAGCTGGATCTCTCCTTAGGTCTAAAGACACTTGCTGAGAACCTGATGTGAGCCTGGCCTTCCAAGGCACACCTGTCACAGGCTTGGAACTCAGACCAATCGAAATCCTGCGCTGCGGACAGCTGCGTTCTCTTCCTCTGGTTCTCCTCCTGGGTCCTGGGGGGTGTTTTTCTAGACTTGCTGTGGGGAGAATCTTTGGGCTCAGATGGTAAAGATCCTGAATTACCAGAGTCCTGTGCCAGCTCTAGCCCCTGCCTTTGGGTGGACCAGACCAGGCCGGAGAAAGAAAGATGTCTGCCTATGAAAGGGAACAGGGAACTGTCTTGAGTGGCTGGCCAAGGTTGAGGCTCAGCCTGCCTCTGCTCAGGCTCCGAGCAGTAGGCTCAGGAGACACAGTTAGGCACGTTTGCACTGCCGACCAGCACAGGCAGGCAGACCAGCTGGCCCATGGTGCGGTGACTAACGCCTCGTTAATGGTCACACCCCTTTTGTACCTGGCACGTGCCCTCCATTGTGTGCCTCCAGCAAAGAGCCCACTATCAAGTTCCCCAGGCAGCAGCTACTTGGTAGTCACTGTGGCATGTCGGTCACCATTAATATTTGGAAGATGCCTATGCTCTGCTTCAGGCTGAGGCAAGCACCCCTACCTTCCTGTCATGTGAAGATGCCTGCAGGAAAGGTCACACCTAGGGTTGGTGGACTAGTAATGCTCCCTGTTGTTATTTGGCCTTCAAAATTAAATTTATCTTGGGCCCAAGTGGTTTGCGATTTCTCTGAGTCTCTGCCTGTTTTCTTCTCTGTTCCCTCCTTCCCAGGATACACTGGACATAGTGTGAGACACTTGGGTGCAGAAGTCATGGTCCAGTAGCAGGGCTGGGCGGATAAGCCAGCACCATGATGGTGGGTGTGCTGGGTGAGGGTGAGGACAGATGTGGACAGGAGGTGTGGAGCTCTGTGAGGGCTCGGCCCTGCGCCGGAGGTCCCATGGAGGCCTGTGAAGAAGGGGCGATTGTACTGAGAGCAGAAAGTGAAAGGGGACAGGTGTGTCCTGCCTCTCTGGACAGTGACATTCCCACAGTAGTGTGGGGACTGCAGTTGGCACTATGTAGCCGGGGCTCCTGAAGCTGTTGTCCGAGGGGCAGGGAGGGGCCAGGTCCTGAAGGGCGGAGGACACCAGGAGAGGGTTTTGGGTGGAGAATGGTGACTGGGTGAAGCCCTGAGCAGGCAGGAGGCTGGGAGTGGGAGCTGAATTGCGCTGGAGTCACGTGGAGTGTGAATGTTGTGAGCGTCCCGGAAACAGCTGGGAAGCAGCTGGAGGGATGGGCCTGGACCTCAAAGAAGGATTCTAGGCTCAGGAGAGGGTGGGCTCCATTGGAGAGACAGGCACAGGAGCTGGAGGAGCAGCCGTGGAGAGGTGAGGAGATGCCTGGCAGGGAGGCAGGCGGGATGAGGCCCAAGGCAGCTGGGAGATCTGGCAGCCAGCGCGGCCAGCGGCGGGAGGGCCGGAAGCCGGGTGTCATCTGCTCTTGCCAGCAGCTCGGCTCAGAAGAAAAACGGAGGAGAGGTGGAGCTGGAGCGGAGCCCCCGGCGCTGTGGTTTGCTGTGTTTGGGGCCCGTGTCACAGCACTGGGGAGCCTTGGAGAGAGATGGGGAGCTAGGGTCCCCAGAAGGTGAGAGCCAGGACTGAGGGGGGCCTTGGTCTGTGGTGGGAATGCAGAGAGCTGGGAAGCTCCTGCCTGACAAGCCCCCTTTCTTGGGGTGGAGTGGGTGGGATGGGGCAGCTGTGAGCTGGAGAGGAGACAGTGTCAGTGAAGTGTGCCGCAAAGGCTGCCAGGTGGCACCGGGGGCTGGGCCACTGGAAACCGCTGAGCAGGCGGCAGGACTTCTCCCTCTCCCCTCAGCTGTTCCCGTGCCTCAGGCTGACTTCCTCGTGCCGTTTATCCATATGGCTGAGACAGGAGTGTGGGGTTGGCGGGCGGGAGTTGGGGCTTGGCGTGACGGTCCAGGCTGAGCTGGCAAGAGAGAAAAGCCAGAGCGGCTGGTGGATGGGGCAGTCGCAGCTCCGAGTGGGAGGAGGGCACTGAGGGCTCCAGGACGGGGTATGGGCGGGTTTATGAATGTGCCGCCTCTGGAGTGGGTAGAGTGGTTTTCTGGAATGCCCAGGGACTGGATAAAAAGGTAGAGATGTAAAGGCTTTTAAAGTTCTAGAGGCCACGGAGCTTCCAGCCAGGACTGCGAACTTAGCCCTCCAGGGAGGGCAGCACAGAGAGGAAGGCCCTGAGCCGGAGAGAGAGGAGGTGGGTGGTGATGGCGAGAGCCTGGCCGCTGCTCGGCCCAGAGGAGGAAGGGTACATTCGGGAGAGGACGAAGACTTGGGAGTGGTGTGTTTGCTGTAGAAAATTTCCAGAGCAAGAAGGC